GGGAGAGGCTGAAGGAGATGGAGAGTTGCACGTTAACTGTAGGGCTGAGATTATTGTGGATTTACTGCAGCTGAAAGGGGAACTAGGCAAGCTTGCAGGATTTGGGCTTGCTCACATGGGCAGGTTTAGTAGGGTAGCTGATGAGGAGGTCGCGGCACCTCACGATCTGCTTTCACCTTGCACAGCGTGCCAATGGTGATGGTTACCCATCGCTGACAAATCAGGCACCTAGTTACTGCAGCAGCTCCATGGGGTTGGGATGGAGGTGGCAACATTGCATACTGCTGTAACTGCTGGCTGTGACCTGCTGGTTCCTTTCTGCTGCTCTCTGATGGATATCTCAGCTAATGGCTTGTAGGTAGGGCCTGGGGAGAAGTGTGAGGCAACTACACGTTGCATGAAGACATATCCACTTTGTTTTTTTTCAGCCTAGTCCATTACTCCTTCAGTAGGGGAGAAATAGTAGTAAGAAATTTATTTTTCAAGTACCATGGTGCAGGTGGATTGTTTTCTGGGACCGCTGCAATACAGAGACAGAGTTATAATCATAGGATCGCAGAATGGACTGGGTGGTAGAAGACCTTAAAAGTCCATTCAGTTCCAACCCCCTCCCAAGGGCAGGGCTGCCACCCACCAGCTCAGACTGCCCGTGGCCCCATCCATCCTGGCCTTCAGCAGCTCCAGAGATGGGGCATCCACAGCTGCTCCGGGCAGCCTGTGCCAGGGCCTCACTGCCCTCATGGTAAAGGTGATGGAGGTGCCCTCTACATGGAAGGGATGCTGTGCCTGGCTATACAGACTGTCCTGTCCTTGTAGACTGACAGGGGAGGCCAGGTTGGAAGGGACTTCGGGATGTGTCTGAAGCCATAGTCTTACTGAAGCTGAGCCAGGTGATTGCTCAGCATGCTGTCTATATACCGTGGCAACCGTCCGAAGATACCCAGCATCACTGGGCAAACAGATAGCTGCTTGGCTTTCTTCAGCTGGGTATCCAGCATTTTGCTAAATGCCTACTGTGAGCACCTTGCTTCACCTCCTTGGTGGCCTCTGAAGCATGGGATCCGCCTGTCATCTCACTGGCTACTATCACAGTGGTATCTGCTGGCTTTACTTTTGGCAGACGTGCTTTCTCTCTTTCAGATCTTAGACCTGGTTGCTGTCAACTGTACAGATCACCGTGATATCAAAAAGCTCGAAGCCACAATTCTGGAATACGTGAAGAATGAGGAGCTATTCCCTGAGGTTGTCCGTGTGCTGCCGCCTGTCTACCGGGAGGTAGAAGCTGCCATTGTGGACATCACCCAGAGTGAGGAGATGGCAGACCATGGTGAGTGCTTCCTCATCCCTCACCTTATTGCTTTTCTGAGAGGGACAGGCACTCTGAAGTCCTTCTGTGTGTGGTGGTGGGATTGCTCTGAAGATCTTGCAGGAGCAGTCATTGTCATTGCCTGGCTTTGTCTGATGTAGGTTTGGGTTGGAAGGGTCCTCAAAGATCACCTAGTTCCAACCTCCTGCCATAGACAAAGACACTTCCAACAGGCCAGATCAACCTGGCTGTGAACACTTCCAGGGATGGGACATCTGCAGCTTCTATGGTTAGCATGTTCCAGTGTCCTGAGTCCTCAAAGGAAGGAATTCCTATTATCTAATGTACCTGACTCCAAGGCCTAGGAAAAAGCAAGGAAAAAGGGCAAGTTCTTCTTCACATGAAGGCTCTGCCAGCATCTGTCAACCTGTGGATGGAGGAGCTTTCAGCTGGTAGCGTAGTCCGTAATGTTGTTCTTTCTCCCCTTTGCCCTGTATAAACTCTTCAAATTCATGGTATCTTGCAGGAATGAGACAGACAGCTTTAATGTTTCTATTTGGCTTCCAAACCTGTTCTATATTTATTGTATAAAATCTTGCAAATTTTATTTAATGCATATCTCTGATCTCAACTGCTACCTAGGGACAACGTGACATTGGGCCCTGCTGATGCTTGTTGGCCCTGTAGAGCAGCCTTTGACAGCTAGCTTGGCTGGTGTACTCCAAGATGGGCATGCTGAGCACCTACATCTCCCTCTAGGCATGATGGACCTCCAGTACCTGCTCAGCGAACTCTCCCAGCAAGAGCACCTGGCCAATCTGGACAGAGAGCTTCTCCAGGATATCCTGCGCTACCTCCACCGCATTGGCCTTCTCGTGTGGTACGAGGAAATCAAGCACCTGGAAAGCACTGTCTTTCTGCGGCCCACCTTCCTAATAACTACGTTCAAGGTGAGCATGGGGAATAGGACTTTGCCATGCTCCTCTCTCACAGCCTCTCATTTCTCTCTCTTCCTGCCCAGCTCCTTGTGAGGGACCGCCTGGTCCAGCAGCTGGAGAGCATCTCTGTGGACACGCTGATTGCGGAACATGCCACCATCAGGGACAGGTCCAACTGGGTGTGCGCCTTCAAGTCAAAGGCAATGCTGTGCCACCAGGCAGTGCGTGCTTTGGTGAAGTACCAGCTCTTTTCGGAAGGGATGCAGGACATCTTTGAGGAGATCATGGGGGACAAGACCCACAGGGGGAAAGGGAAGCTCTTTAGCCTCCTGGAGCACTTTGAGCTCTGCCTGGAGGTGAGGCAAGCCAAAGCACTCAATCCTCAGGCCATTGAGTTTGTGCCCGGGAAGACATGGGAGACAACACAGGACCAAAGCAAGTCCTGGTACTTGTTCCCAACCTACCTAAACCAGACTGAAGATGTTGCTGAGGTGTGGGGAGGAGATCACCACGAGGACCTCCACATCCGTACCTACTTCTCACCTGAGATACCTGAGGGCTTCTTCCACAGGTGCGCAGTGTTGTCCAGCCCCCTGACGAGGCTGTTGGCAGGCCACTCACTGGGTTTGGTTGGGTGCAGAGCAGGTATGATCATCAGCAAGCCCTCAGCTGTTGAGAACATAACAGCCGAGGCATGAAGCCAGGATAGGAGATCAGGGTACAGTCTTGGTCCTGTCCTGGACTTGTGGAGCCCTGAATGAATCACTGTGATGTCCCTTGTCCAGATGCAAGCAAGGATAATGATTCTTCTGTTTCACCTGCCATCTGGGGTGGGTTTTTGCAGTCCATAGAGCTAGTTTGTGCCAATCCAAGCATTATAGAATCACAGAATGGATTGGTAGGAGGGAACCTTAAAGCTCACCCAGTTCCAACCTCTTGTCATGGGCAGTACTGCCACCCACCAGATCAGGTTGTCCAGGGCCCCATCCAGTCTGGCCTTGAATGCCTCCAGCTCTCACAGTCCCACTAGAACAGAGTGTGGAGAAAGACCTGCTTTCCTCTGGGACTGGACCACCTGCCACTGGGATCTTCCAGTTTCTGGAAGGCCTCTTGTCATTGTAGGGTTCTTGACTTGTATCTGGGGTTTTATCAGACAACCAAACCTGGAAGCAGCTCTTGCCTTAACAGGCTGCTCCTGCTGCTTGAGCCATGGTCCTCATTCAGCTTCTAGCTCTATTTTGGCTGAAACTGGTTTAATATTTTTCAGGTCACCCCATTGCCACATTTTCTCCCACTGTGGGATATAAATGGGGAGGAGGGTGGTTAAAGCCACAGGCAATCTCTTTGCAGGTTCCTTGTGAAAGCTTGCTCCTTCTACTCCACGCATTGGGTGGCCAAGGCAACCTGCCTGCTCGTATGCAACGGCAAACCTCTGCTGATTAAAGAGAACAACCAGCGGGCATACAGCTACCTGGAGCTGAGGTGCAGGAAGCCAGCAGGAGCAACAGGTGGGGAGCACCAAGGAACAGGCAAAGGGCTGCCTGAGGAAAGTAACTCTCTTGGTGCCTCTTTAAGTTGCCCTTAGCAGCTGCCACACTTTGGTTAACATGACAAGCTGTGCTGGTATGCCTGATCTGGTGATGGTTGGCCACAGCGAGGCTGGAAGCAAGTTGTGTGGCTCCCAGGCCCTCGTACTGCAGCTGTGGGTAACTGTGCCTCTCTCCTTTTGTCTGGAAGCATTCCAGCTTGCTTGGGACTTCCTCATGGCAGCTGTGTTTATCATCCAGAAGCTCTCTGAAGAGTGGCCAGGGCTGCACGTGTGTGTGAAGACTCCTTGTCGCACGGCCGGCTGTCCCGCAGAGCTCATCTGGCCAGACATGGATGGCAAAACCCCCATGTATGTATGTGCTTGCTCAGCACAGAGCGCTGAAACCTGATGGGTGCTGCTGCAGTGTCAACTGGGGCTTTTTCCTTCACAGGACAAAGGAAGATGTTAAAACCTGTGGAACATGTGGGCATCGGTTTGGTGCAGAGCTGCTCTTACCCAAAGGTGAGGCTGGTGGTGGTGGAGAAGAGCTCTAGCCAGAAGGAGGCATGTGATGGTGGTGTCCTGTCTTGGGCTACATGGGAAGGCACAGTCCCAGAGCAATCTGACCACTAGTGGGGAATTAAATAGGCCATACAAAGATGAAGGGGTATATCTAGCGTCTCTAAGTGGTGAGGAGTTTGTGTCCAGTGGAAAATGCTGGCTCCCCTTCTGGAAACAGGTACTCCAAGCAGTTTTCCTCCGTGGGCCAAAATGGTTAACATTGGCTGTCCTGGAAGCAGCAGGGCTTCCTGCTTATTCTTAGGGGATAACAGCTCAACTGCTGTGTGCTGGAGCTGAGTTGCTTAAGAGCTGACAGTTCCTTTCTTTGTCCACACAGTGCCCAGGCAGCCAGAAGCAGCCCCAGCACAGCCCCCTGTCCACTACTATGTGACCAGCTACGGCACCACCACCTTTGGGCCCAGCAGCATCCATGTCACCCGGCAGGTAGGCTGTCCCCTGCCCTTGCTTCTGCTCACACCCTCATTCCACCCTCCTCAGGCAGCCCAACGCTGCAGATTATCACCTGGAAGGCCTCTGTCATGTGAGCACTTTGTTTTTTTCAGAACATCACCAGTGAGTGACTGAAGGCCAGGGGGGGAGGGAGGCTCCAATGGAAGACAAAAGAATTGTTTTTAAACTGAAGACAAGCTCACCTCAGCACGCTGAGTTTACAAGTACCACTTACATCTTTACTGCAGGGCAATAAATGCATAAATAAATGTGCTGACTTGCGATACAAAAAGGATACATTTAGGGGGCTATGCAACACCAGTGAGTGGGAAGCACCTTTATATAGATATACATTTAACCTTACAAAACTTCAGAAAAGTATATCTGTAAAGAACCACAATCCCCAAAAACTCCAGATAGCTGTTGGAAAAAGCCACGTGCCAGCTCCAGGTCCACCTGGGGGCGAAGGAGGAAGGAAGGAACCCCACTGCACACCATGCTGGTGCAAGGGGGGTTGAAGCGCTGTGCAGTCAGAGAAAAGGCTTTCCCAACCACCAAGCTTTTTGCAGCAGCTTTTGGAGGAGTGGAGAGTTCCTGGACTGGCTCCACTGCTGGCTGCTCATTTCATGTGTTGACCCTCAGCCAGCACTCACGGCTCGAGCAGGATAGCAAGATGTGCCCAGGAGTAGATGCAAATGCTGCTCTTTTCTCCTCTATAACAGTGAAACCAGCCCAATGCTGACTGAGCAGAGCCAGAAAACTCTTTGCAAGGCAGCAGAGGTGGGGGGAGGAACACAGGAAGGGAGCGTCAATCTGTCTGCATGTGGTATTGCTCAATAAGCTCGAAGAGGTTGAAGGAGTCAGAGAGCTGCAGGCTGACATTGCCGCTGTTGAGGGAGGAGGCTCCTTCCCGCTGCACCTGCTCATACCAGTACTCGCAGAACTTGGGCACCAGCTGCAACAACACACGGGCACAACAGTGGGTGGGGTTTGGGGCAGCTGCTTCTCCATGCAGCCCTGTCCCTCCATGAGAAAAAGGGGGTGCACAGGACAATCCATCTCCCTTGGTCCTGAGAGTCCCAGTCCATAGTACACATCTCCCTCTGCCTCTGAGGGCCACTCACCTTCACCAGGATGAGCTTGGATTCCTTGGGCTTCGTGCTGGAGAAGCACTGCCCAAAGCAGAGGAAGATGGTGAAGTCGGGGGAGCGCTCCCTGCGGCTGTCACGGAAGTCCCGGAGCTCTGCAAGGAGAGGCAGGGCTTGGGCTTAGGGCAGGCCCCAGGGAGGGCAGGGGTACTTTGGTTGGGTGCTTCCCCGCCACCTCAACCCCAAAGCGGGACGGGAAGGGGCCCTACTCACCTGTGCAAAACACACTGAAGTCAAAGATGGTGGTCTCCTGGTCCCGGTGGAGCAGATTGAGAGGGGGTTCCCCGCCCTCGAGCTGCTGTGACAAGGCCCAGAAGACCTTGCACTTCTTCAAGCGAGTGGCCAGGAGCTGGCCGGCACGCTGCTCCAGCCGCAGCCCCGCCACCCCCAGCAAGTCCTCAGTGTAGTGCCGCTGCCTGGGGTCGACCAGGGTCTCGGGGCTGGGGAACAGCACCAGCCGCTGCTCGGCCACCGCCGGGTCCAGGGGCTGGTAGGCCAGCACCCACCGGCTGTCGACCACCTGCTCCTGGTAGACCACCTTCCCTCGGTAGTAGATAGTGATGTCCAAGATGGGGGGCAGCTCTCCTGCACGAAGCAGCTGTCAGTGGTGGCGGCCCCAAAAACCCCTCATCCCCACAGGCGGACCCTTAGCTGTGTCCCCATAGAGGATCCCTCACCTGTGTCACCCGCCAGTGGCGGAGGCGCGGGGTTGGCAGGCTGGAAGAGTAGCTGCTCACCCGGGGATGGCGCAGGGATGGCACATTCCTCACTCACAGAGGGGCCCCCGGCCCCATCCTGCCCGCAGCCCCCACCTGGGAGGGGCTGGTCAGCCAGCAGCAGGGACTCCGGGGGGCTGCAGGTGCCCTGCTCCTCCAGGTGCCTCCAATCCTGGAACAGTGGCACAGGGAGGCAGCCACCTGGGCCAGAAAGCAGCAGAGCATCCTCTGGCAAGGCATCCCCTACAGAGACATTGTAGGTGGGTGGGGGTTTACCTCACTCTGCGTCCCCCCAAAACAAGTGGGCCTGGTCTCACCTGCATGTGCCCAGAGGGCTGTCTGGGAGCTGAGGACAGAGATGTTGCATTGCTGCAGTATGGACTGCAAAGCGTCCAAATCCTCCTGCATCAGGGCTGGTGCAGCAGCACCTTCAGCACTGTCTGTGGGACACAGCGGGGGGGTCACCAGCCATCAGCAACCCCAAGCCCAACCCCCAGAGTGGGTCAGTCCTGGGACAAATCCAGCACGATCCCACTGCCAGGCTGAGCCTGAGGTGCCCCCACACACAGAACAGGGGACTGGGACCTACCTGTGGGAGTGTTTTCCGAGGCCAAATCATGGTGGTTGAGCAACAGCTGCAGAGGAAAGCAGGACAGGGCTGAGGCACTGGTGCTGTGGGCCCAGGCCAAAGATGAGGGCTGCAATGCCCCAGTAGCAGCACCAGGCCCCCTCCCCTTCTGTATGCCCATCCCATTACCTGCGGCTGGGGCTGTTGCAGCGGGGCATCTGACACAGGGCCCCCAGAACCTCTCTCATTGAGGATGGCTGGAAGGAGAGCAGGGTGAGCAGGATACCCCAAGCTCAGCCCCCATTTTGTTGCTTCCTCCAAGCCTGGGCTCACCTGAGGCAACTGCATAGACCTTGTGCGGGTCGTTGTTGCACTTGGAGCGGTCCTCCAGCAGCGTGAACATGTGGGTGCTCCTCAGGGCACAGCGGAAGTTGGTCTTCCATTTGGCTGGATCCTCAGCATTCCCCTCGTACCTTCCACTGGCTTTCGCCCAGGCCTGGTGGGCATGGAGAAGTGAGCACAGGGACCCCAGAAATGCGGGCCTTGATTATCCTATCTCATCCATATTGAAGGCCTTGAGGTCACTGCTGGTTACCCCTCATCCCACCCCCTTGAAGACCTTGGGGTCACTTCACTGCTAGTCACCCTCCAATGGAATTGGAGTGGCAGGACGGTCGAGGTGGGAGGACCCTCTGGGTCCATCTGGCCCAGCCCTTGCAAAAGCAAGAACATCCAGCATTGGGTGCTGCCATTCTCACCTGCTTTGAAAACTACAGTCCTCCAGTCACACCTATCCTACTTCAAAGACCTTGCAGTCACCACTGGTGACCACTCCATTCCCATCCACCTCAGAGACCACAGGATTAGAACCACAGCACCATTAAGGTTGGAAAGGACCACTAAGATCACCACATCCGCCCACCAACCCATCCCCGCCATGCCCACTGACCACATCCCTCATTGCCATATCCACACAGCTCTTACACACCTCCAGGGACAGTGACCTCACCACCACCCCGGGCAGCCTGTGCCAGCATCTCATCCACCCATCTTGAAGACCACAGACTTCTTGTGCCACTTCAAAGACCTCGGAATCACCGCTGTTGATCATCCCATTTCCAACCAGCTTGCAGACCTCGAGTTGCTGTCGTTGACCTCCCCATAATCTGACCCACCCTTGGGTCACTGCTGCCCACCTTATAGACAGACCACTGGGCTGCTGAGCTCAACACCCCCCACGTCACTGCGATACCCCAACCACCCTGAAGTCAGCCCATCTCTAAGACCCCCACCTTGAAGATCTCCACGTCGCTGCTGGTGACATCCTTCCGGGCGTTGTGCTTCCAGGGGATGCGGAAGATACGGCGGGCCGGGTCGATCCAGCAGAGGCCGTGGTACTGCCCGCTGCTGACGGCGTTCAGCAGCCAGGGCCCGAAGCGCAGCTTCTGGGCGTCCCTGCGGGGCGGCACGGTCAGCTCCCGGGCCGCGCGGACAGCCGGCGGGCACCCGGCCGCGCCGCTTACCCCTCGCTGTCCAGCGCTGCCATGGCTCCGCGGCGTCCGGACCGGACGGTTCCACCCCGGGGCCGGGCTTTTATAGAGCGGCGGAGGCTTTCCTGGAAATCACGCGGGGAAACGAAACCGAAACCGCCGCGGTGAGAGGGAGCGGCAGGGAGGCTGCTGGTCCGCAGCTGCGTGGTGCGGGGATGCGGCTCCAGCGCTGCGCCTCCGGATCCGCCGCGACCCTTCGGAGTCGGTGGGGATATCCGGACTGCGCAGCGCGGGTCGAAGGGCGGACCGAAACGCTGCCAGCGGGGCTTTCCCGCCCCGGTCCCATCGTGCAGTTTGGGGCTGGAAAGTCCAGCAGGTTTTGAAGTTATTTTTAAGATTTAACTCTTCTTCTTCCAAGCCTGGGCGCACGCTAAGGACTGTGCGGGGAACCAAGCCCAGACGGCAGCGCTGCTCCTAGGTTTCGTGCACAAAAAGAAATCAGGCCCCCTTCGTTACCCCCCCCCCCCAAAAAAAATCCTCTCTTTCCTTGCTAAGAAATCCCCCTATTGCATCATAGGAAATCCACCTGTTACTCCCCAGGGACTCTTCCATCGTTGCCCAGGAAATTTCCCCATTGCTTTTTAGGAAATCCATCCCTTGCTTCCTGGGGCATTTCCTTGGTGCTGTTCAGCAGTTCCTCACCTTTCCAGGAAGTTCCTCCACTGCTTGCCTGCAAATCCATCTGTTGTGCTCTAGGAAATTTCCCCTCCACTGCCAAGGAAGCATTGCTGTTCCTTTCATGGAGATCTCTGCCTGCCAGGCATTTCTCCTATTTGCACTCCAGCAATCCCCCCATTGGTTTCAAGGATGTTTCATGGTTAGATTCCCCATTGTTTTCATGAACATTGACCACTGCTATCCACAAAGTTCCCCCACAGATTCCCAGGATATTTCAGGATATTTGCTCCTTTGCTTTTGAGGAATTCCCCTTACTGCTCTCCAGAAAATTCCCACATTGCCTCACAGGAAATTTCCCCATCACCCTCCAGGACATTTGACTGTACCTTTTCAGCATTTCCCTATCATCTTCTTGGATTTTTCCATTTTGCTTTGTAGGAATATCCCCGTGATGCTTTAGGACACTTCCTTACCACTTCCTAGTATGCTTTCCTCTTTTCTTCCAAGGAAGAAGGCGAAAAACCATAACCATGGAGGGGCATTAAGCACCTGGATCCCCCAGAGCCAAGGCCTGGGCAGGGACAAGGCAACACCAACAGGGCCTAAGGGAGAAGAGCCCAGCAGAGGACCCAATGCACAAGTCATGGGGTAGGATGCACCAGGTGCCAACTCCATGCTTCAGTCATCATCCCCTGCCCTGGGGAAACATGGCACCTGCAGCAGAGAAGCAGACAGCTGGCCAGGGCGAGCAGAGGTGTGTCTGTTTGCCTCTACTTCATAATACTGGAATTCACGCTTGGAGGTTTCTGCTCTCTGCTGATGGATTGGAATTCCCCCCATTTGAAATTCATCTTTGTTTTGGTGCCAGCCTTCAGGGCCAAGTCACAGCCACCTCCTGACACCCTCCAGCCTCAGGTCCAAGCAGCTAAACCCAGCCCCAGTAAGGTCACAGTGTCCAGAAGCACCTGGGGATAAGGAAAAGTGACCCCCAAAGCCTGACCCTCCACTCCCACAGCCCCATGGGTGCTCCCAACCCCACCTTCTCTAAAATGCTGGGATGAGGAAAGCAGGGAGGGAGGCTGCTCCAAACTCACACAAACTCGCACCTGCATTTAGAAAACCATACATCCTCCCCACAATTAAGATTCAGAGTGTTTTGTTGAACAGGAGCAGCTGAAGGTTTCGGGAGGAAGAGGGAGCACCTTAGAAAAACCACAAATCTTTCTCTTTTAATCCACCAAAGAGAAATCCAGAGCAAGAGCAGCATCACAGCACTACACACATCACAGACATCTACCAGACTCGGAGACCATCTTTGCACAGATTCCTTCCCAGATACAAGGAAAAAATCATTAAAAAAAAGGAAAGTGATTCACATAAGCAAAGTGACAAGGAACAAATCAGCTACAGAACAACTTCTAAGAGAAAAAGGACGCATCGAGGAAGAATGCACTCAACATATGGGTTTTGAGAAATACCCTAACCCAAGAATGCTGAAGCAGAGGTGGTTTTCTTTCAAACATTAAAAACATGGATTTTTTTTTTTTAAATTAACTTAAATATACAATTGAAACACAAACACCAAGCAAGTGCCTGGAGAAACAAACGAAAAGAAGGAATGGAAGGTGAATTTGACTCGTTTAATTTAAACATTGAGGTTGGGTGGATTGCACCACATGGAATAAATAATGGAGAAGATCACGGTGAGGTTGTTAATCTTGTACTTAACATAATTTACCAAGGATTAACAGCACAGCCCAAGAGAGTACTTAATGAGAAGCCCTCTGACAAGTGGTTGCAGTTGGGCAGAATCCCTTTGGCAGAGTGGGTTGTGGAGCAGGGAAGTGCCCCCACCACCCAACAACGAACACTACCCCAAGGGCGAGAGGGATGATGAGTTTCTGGGATTGCAATCCTGCAGTCCCACCTGCACAACAGCTCCTTGCTCAGGGCGTGGAACCTCCTTGACAGCAGCTGGCTACAGGCACACCCAGTCAAACAACAACACAAAACCAGACCTTGTGCTTTCACCTTGCAAGGTAAGAGCAAACACAGAGGCTTTATAGCACAGCTGCCGTACCTTGGACCCTATGGAAACAGACCAGGCTCCTCCTTTCACGTCCTGGGGCCAAGCCAGGAAACACAGAGCCAACTGTGTACACAGCTAACCGTACACCTGCTGCAGGCATCACCTCGGGGAGGGCAGGCTGAAGGAATGTAAGTGGTTTCTTTTTGTTTGGTTCTTTTCCCTCCCCACAATCCCTGCATTAAAAAATAAAATAAAATGAAGTTGATCCCAAGTTTCTCTCCTTCCCCTGCCTGCAGCCAAGCAGGGAAGGACCTTCGACATTCACATGATCCCACAGACATGTTCCCTACAGAGCAGCCACCTCGCCTCTGCACCTCACCAAGAGGGAAGTCCCTTTGCTTTAAAACAAAAATAATTACAAAAAAAAAAATAGCAATGATCCCTTTCCCTTCCTTTGATCTTTAAGAAATTCATCCTAGTCCAACTCATTTTTGAACAAGGGAAAGAGGCAAAGGTTTCCAAGCCAAGGAACTTGCCAGACCCAGTGTCCCCTTTGCATCCCTTTGCAGGACACCTGCTCTCCTCTTGGGACCCAGCACCCGGACAGGTGGCTGAGGGACACAGCTGCCCCTGCAGCCCCTCTGCGGGCAGCCAGGAGCCCTGGGAAGGGCGGAGGTGAATGAGGGCTCAGGTTATCTTTTTCCCCTTCCCTCTTCCTTCTAAATGCTGGGAAGAGAATTCTGGGTGTGCAAGCCCAGTCTGTGCTTACCAGTGTCCTTAAGAATTATGATTAAAAAAAGGAGAAAAAAAAAAAAAGGGGAAAGAAAAAAAGATATGCATAATTGGGTATTGTCCATGGAAGGAGAGGGAGGGAACGGGCTCCAGATCAAGATAGAAAAGAGACTCTCCCTCCCCATGTTTGCTCATCTGGAGACCATATCTCCCATGTTCCCATGCGAACCCTCTGTGCTGTTGCTCTCACACCACTCGACATGGACGACGAACACAGGGATGAATCCGGCGTGGCAGAGGACGGGCGGGCACAGGCAGGCATGCCAGGGCTAGGCCCGGTGCTTGGGGAGTATGTCCAGGAGGAACTCCGCAATGCCAATGAAGTAGACGACTTGTGCGATGCCAAAGAGAGGAGCGATGACCAGGGCTCGGCAGTACGCCCCTTTCAGGAAGGCCATGGGTCCTTCCTTCTGCCAGATCTTCCTGGGAAAAGACAGCACAGGTTGGCCAGCGTCCATCCCATCCCATCCCTCCACTGAGCCAGGAGAACCTCTGGCCATGCCCTAGCTTTTTGCCTTCCACTATACTAAACACAGGAATCTTACTTGGTGCAGTCCAGGATTCCTGAGTACGTGTCTTCGTTGACTCCTCTCTGCAAGGACTGCAGCCGTGTTTTGATCACTGGGGAGAAAGAGGAGAGACAGTGGTGAGCAGAGGGCTGGCCTCTCCCTTCCCTCTTGGCTGTGCAGCAGGCAAGAGCCAAACCTGAGAGCGCTCTGCGATAGCCAAGAGGAGCACAGACCATTTGCATGTATGTGCCACCAAAACAGGAGAAAGCAAGCCTGCTCCTTTATAAATGGACAAAAGAAACACAACCGCCCCAAAATCAACCAGCTCCCTCCACTCAATGTAACCAAGGCTTCCAAGGCTGACCTAACTTTAAATACTTCCAAACTCAGTATCTGTCTACAAAATGGGATCCGATTTCCAAATACTCTGAGCTATCTCCAAATGCCCAACTCCTTCTGGAGCAGCAGGTCAGAATATCTAAAATATGCGGCATTGTTCTTACATTTCTTCCCCTCTTGAAGTGTGTGTAATGTTGACAAGAAAGGAGTTACTTTCAAGTGAGATTTTAAGGTATTTGAGGCAGCTGCTGTGAAGCAGAACAAAAGGCCCCCATTTGCCTCTGCCCTTTGGCATGTGTGTAATTGGTTGGGGGACAATACTTCAGATGGAAATGTGCCTTTACAGGGGCAATTCCTGTAAAAATGGCTGAAATTAATTATATCTTCCTGACTACAGGCCTGAGTACTGCAAACTTCTGTGAAAAAAACAGCCAAGGTTCCAGCTCAGCTGAAGGAAACACCGTCAGCTCCTGGAGGCAGCTCCAACAGCAGAGCTCGCTTCCTATACTGCCCTCAGTGCTCATGCAGTGAAGAGGCAAGCATGGCCATCCTGCCCCTCCCCCAGCCCACCCGATGGCCTCAGTGCTGTCACACAGCACCAGGCTGCCAGAACAAGCTGCTGGGGACTCACCATCACAAGGATTGACAGCCACTGCAGCTGTACTACCGGCCACGCATCCAGAGAGAAAGGAAACATAGAACGGGGCCTTGACATTGGGGTCTTTCTGGCCCAGCTTGTTCAGGTTTGCAAACAGCGGGAAGTAAACGATGGAGAACGGGACATCCCTGTGAGGGGAAGGGAGAAAGGGGAAGAAAGAAAGAGGACAAGGATGAGCAAAGTCAGGGTGGGACACCAACAAACTGAGCACCAAAGGAAGGGCTGCACGCATGGTGTGCTGGCAGTGCAGCCACAAGTACAGTGCAGACATCATCCCAGCTCTGCGACTGCACAAGGACAAGAGCTGAAACTCCTGTGTCACTTTCTGGAGGCTCAGGCTGACAGTTCTGCTCTGTCCTACCTTAGCAGCGTGGCTCCCAGGCCCTTGTAGAGTCCTGCGATGCCTTTGCTGCGCAGCAGCTCCCTGGTTATCTGCGTCGCTGTGGTGCGCGCCTCCACCACTGGCTCTGCTGCCCCGGCCGCAGAGGAAGAGGAGAGCTGGGCCTGTGCTGCCATCAGCTTCTTCTGTGCCGCTGCGGAGAAGCGGAGAGAGTGTGAGACTGCAAGATGCTCAACAGCAGCCTCTTGTTGCCTGGTGCCACGGGACAGAAGGATTTCTCAGTAGAGCGAACTAGAGGTACAGCAATCATTAACTCTGAGCAGATAGACCACATTTACGCAGGCAACGTGGTTCCTTCTAGGAGCCTTTTTGAACTCTGATGCATTTCTGCTCTTTGGCCAGAAGATGGGGAGCACACCAACCTGTAGGCAATGCTGTGGCTGCCACCAGCACACCACAGGTCCGTGCACAGAGGAGGAGCTGTTTGCAGCACAAATCTTTTGCGAACTCTTTCAACTATCGTTTTAATCCTTCAAACACTTTAAAATGCTACACACAAAGAAGATAAAGTCTGCATTAAAAGCAGCAAACAGATGAAAGCAAAGTAAATCCACAATTATTTAGGAATGCCACATCAAAGGAGAGATTAGAGGACAAATTGGCCCATTTTCCAGGCAGTTTCAGAAGGTACCTAGTGGGCATCACCAGGCATTCTCAACAACAGGGCCATATGCTGGGCTGACTTCTGAAAGAGGTTAATAGCAATAGCTCTTCCTCCAGATTCACCGAGCCATTTCTGGTCTCAGTTCTGACCAGGGAAGGATGCCTGGAAGCTGTTAGGATGGTGCTATTGTGAGGAGTGGGGAAGAGAGAAAGGACACCAGGAAACAAGGAGACAGAGGAAGTACCACAGCAAAAGCACTGCAGGATGCTAACCCCTTCTTGACTGTAGAGAACTAGCAAGTTGTAATCGCTCACAAGGTGCTCAAGCCAGCCATCTCTCCTATCTCTCTCCATCCACCACCAGCATTTGCTGTTTCACCTGCCAAGCTCTGAGCAAAAACACTTTTTCTAATCAAAAGGGCCTTTGCAAGGCCAGGTGAGCAAAGGCTGGGAGGAAATAAGTTGGGAATAGGATAAATTTCTGCTACAAACTGAGATACCTCTGACTCAAGAAGGTAGGAGGAAGGAAAAGCATTTTTATGGCTCATTCCCTCTCCCTGCCTGGTGCACAGGGAGATGCAGACATACCAATCCGTCCTGCATCCTGCAGCTGGATTTTGAGCATCTCCATGGGAGTGGTGACGATCACCTGGCAGGTACCCGCACCGCAGCCTGCCAGCATCTCCCTCAGCAGTGTCAGCTTCTTCCTGCCCAAAGAGGAAGAGAGAGATGGTCAGAGGAGGTGGCCAACACTCAGAAGAAGCCACAAGCCCACCCAGCACAGTCCCAGATCCCTACACAGCAAGGTTGGCTGTTTGCTGTCATACCATGTGGTCCCAAAGGGTGACCCATGTCATACCAACAGGTGTCCCAACAGACATGCTAACCTGGCTCTGTTTCAGAAGTGCCACATGCCTCAACTCAGCAGTGGACAAGAGGGGAACATACAGCCCTTTGCATCCCTGGACCAAGAGCTGCAGCAGTTTCCCTCCTGCCAGCCTAGTCCTTTAAACACTGATGACATCCCCAGCAGAGGCAAGGAGCAGGAGGAAACAGTTCTAGTTGCTACTTTCAACTTCTCTGACAAAAGCAACAATATGTAAAAAGTGAATGCGAGAGTCAAGAAGCAGCTGCCTTACGATTAGCAACTTCTTCAATACATCAGCCTTTTCAAACCTACTTCCTGAAGGCAGAAAAGCAGCTTTTACACCCAACTGGTCCTGCTGAGAAACGAAGGGCACGACATATCCTCCAGTACTGCAGCTCTGTGCATTTTCTGCACCAGAGGGTTGGAGTCACTGGGGGCATGCTCTTGTCTTACAAAACACAGCTTCCTCCCTCCCAAAGCCACAAAAACACCCAGTTAGGGATGAAAAGAGGAACTTAGGATGCAGAAAGGCTCAATTTTCAGAAACTGATGAGTTCTCACCCTGTAAAAATCTCACACCATGGTGGCACCAGAAATCATTGGAAAAAAAAAAAAAAAGTGCTTTTGATCTGTTCCTTTTTTAAAAGGGAAAAAAAAAAAAAAAAAAGCAGTGAGAGATCATACAGCCAAAGGGAAACAGCCTCTTTTTTTGTTGTTTTAAATACAAGGAGTACTTTCACCTTCCCACAGCCCAGCTGCTGCAGCAATAGGCAATTGCAGGTCTGAGTGCAATGAATGGAGCATTAATTGATGCTGGGAGCCATCACAGCACATGCTGAGCAGCAGGAAGTGCTGGGGATTTGCTCAGCTTCCCCCAGCTGGGCATCCCCCAGCTGGGCACATCATTCTGCCCTCTCCCCACCTGCCCACTGGCCTCAGGGCACTCCGGGCCACAGTGGGACTGCCCTAATCCTGATTGCCAGCCACGTCAGTGCGCCCATTTCTCCACCTCTCATCTTCTCCAGGCTGGGTATCAGAGCAGGCAGGGATTAGAGACACAAAGCCACAACAGATTATGATGGCTAAATATAGAGCTCTCCACTGGGATTGAAGGAAGAAACACTGCATAGTGGTACCTTTCCAAATTCTCCTGTGGATGAAACACGGTCAGAAGCATTGCTGCACAGCCCTTAGGCCAGCAGTGGGAGGACACAGACATGCACAGAAGCCAGCTACCAGTCCCCCCACAACCTGGCAGAGCATCTCCTGCCTCAGCAAGAGCCCTGCAGCAACCCTGAAGCACGCACTTGGCTTTCACCCAGCAAGATTTCTTTGATGCTCGGTTCAAAAGCCTGGGGAGATGCCCTGTGTGTTCATCTGTGGGCCATTACCCCAGCACACACAAATCAGCCTGCCTTGATTGAACTCCATGGAGCCCCAGCAGTGCAACTCACTGAAGATTTCTGTGCATGGGTGTATTTTAGAGAGATGTTAAACAGGTACATCAAAAGCATGTAGAATGAGGGTTTTCGGTTTGCATCTCTTGGGAACCTGAGGGGAGTCCAGGAAATGAAAGCACACCAAGACAAGCAAATCTTTTGTCAAGAGGCTTAAAATTTACCATCCAAAGGTCAAACTTCCATCACAAAACTTTGCTAGTCTGCACATAAAATGAGTTGGAAAATGGATCATCTCTAGAAGACAACAGGAGTTCCAACTTCAAGGCACTACAGGCCTTATCCTCAGTGGTCTGAACACTGGAACATCCCAACTAACTTCAAAAGCCACAGTCTCTACAAGGACTTGGTCCAACAAGTGTCAGAACAATCTTTCATCACAGCAAGAGTGTGTTAAATATAACAAATATCTCAAATCCTGCACCGATGGAAATCAGTCACTCCCTTTTTTTCTTCCTTTCTTTCTTAGTAACTGATGTACACATAATTACACATCAACAATGTTAAAAGGGAGTAAGGAAGAAGTTTCATGTTCTATATCAAATGGAGTTTCAAAGTAGAGCTGAACAATAAAGCAAAGTCAAAAAGCAGGAACTAAAGATTTACAAAGGGCTTTTTTAGAGCCATGCAGCAGCCCACAGTTACAGTCTCTGAAAGCATTGATATACTGATGTCAAATTGATCTTTTTCAAAAGTTTCTGAAAAATCTTGACTGTGTAGGAGATGCCAGTGCTGGGGGAAGGACCCAACCATTCCACAATAGGTGTGACAAGATTCCTAATGGCAGGAAAAGTCTGACCTAAGGAAACATCCATAACAAAGCCATATTGTAGGAACCAAGATGTTCCTCTTCCCAGCTTGGACATCACCTTCCTCATTCATAAAATAACCTCTGCCTTTGGTCTGTCCACCCAACAGGTTGCACAAAGCTCCCTACAAGTTTGAATCAAAGACAGTCAGTTGGTTTCTAACAATGTAAGTAGCAGGAAGGGAAACAACAAGAACCATGTTCCTTCCAGAGGCTCCTGCTGTGCTTAAACAATCCAGCTCCAGCTCCCTCTGGATTAACAGCTGAAGGTGACCTTACCTTCTGGCTGACCTTTAGTGGCTTCAATCCACCATAATTCCCTGTGCTGCTGTATGCTAAATAAAAGGATCTCAAAGACAGTTATTCCTGAATAGACAGAGTGAGATTATCAACTCTGAACTTGCTCTTTCTGCCACCCACAAGTCTCAGTGGGTTGCATGCAGGTTATCTGCATTAAGGAAGTATCTGGACATCCAGCAGATAACAATGGGGAGAGAACTGGCCCATTAAATTTCTTGTCAGAAAGTGGTGATGCAGTGGCACAGGCTGTCCAGGGGGTGGTGGAATCACCATCCCTGGAGGTGTTCAAGAACCATGAAGATGTGGCACTCAGGGACATGGTCAGTGGGCATGGTGGGGGAGGGTTGTGGTTGGACTTGGTGATCTTGGAGGTCATGTCCAACCTTAATAATTCTATGATTGTATGAATGTGTGCAAGGTGACACAGAAGCTCAGCAGCACAACTAATGGCAGCATCCCTCCTTCCTAAACCAAAAGCCTCTCTTCACAGTCTATGTGCATCTTGCAGCTTACGGATCACTCAGGCCATACAACTGCTGCTTATCCAGGTGTCACAAAAGAGATAGTCTGAGTATTTTAGGACAGCCTGAAAGAGGAGAGGATGAAGGGAAGAGTCCATCCAGCAAGGCAATGGAGAACAAGCTCCAGTCTCCACATCTACATGGAAGAGCAGGAAAAGTGCCGTGTTTGCCTGTGGGTTTACAGTCATCTATTTCTCTTCTCCAAGCAAAGCTAGAAAAGAAGGGGAGGCAGAAAGGAAGAAAATTTGCTGGCATCAGCAAAGGAACAATTAGTGCAACCACACTGGTTTAAGTAGGAACCCGAGCTGCTCAGTCAGCACATCGCCAGCCTTTGCTCCAGAACAGCAAATAAAATGCAGGTAAAGAAGATGGGAGTGGTAGGAGAATAACAGGCTTCGAGGAGGAGGATGAACAGCAGGAAACTCATCCAGGGACACTGCAGAGTTTTGAAGATGAAGAAATATCTTTTATAAGACAACATGAGACACTTTTTACTGGAGCCAAGGCAGAGCACTTAGCCAAGAACCAAACCTGGCAAGCACGTGGCAAACTGCAGCTATCTGGCACTAAATGCTCTGGAGATAAACATGAAGACACTTTACAGGGACCAGCTTTTAGGAAGCGCTTATCACCCAAATTCAAAGAGGACAAAAAGCGTTATAGGCAACACTTGCACCTATAAAAGAGACCACACATATTGAGCACCTAAAAAACATCACTGTACTTTAAATGCATGCAGGTGTACTACCAATTTACATTGCTTTCTTAGCTTCATGCCCACGTGCTTCATACCCAAGTGCTTCGCTTAGCTCCAGTGACTCTTGCTCTCACATTCTCTGCTCCGGATGATAAAGCTGCTGCTGTTTTAACTGCAGCTCTGTGTTTATAGGTTTCTTAATCCATCCAGCTTCAGAAATTCAGAGAAAAATCTCATCAGTTCCCTGTAGCCTAAAGGGAAGAAGTTTCCCTTCTCACATCCTGCTTTCGCAGAGGCACAGCAATGAAGACCTGCAAGAAGATGCTTCTGCAGATCCCCACTTCTGCTTGTTGGCCTGGAAACTGCAGGGACTCTAAAGGCAAAATAATCACAGGACAATGCCACGTTTTCAAGGGGGTTTCCAGTACTCACAGGCCTCCTTGTTCCTAAATGAGGTGGCATGTGAAGACCAGCACAGTAAGTTTTGTTTCCTCTGGAAACAAGAAGTCCTATCAGCAGGCTGCCACACTGGTGTCAATGTGAAAATAGAAACAGGAAAAGAAGCAGAAATTAAGCCTCCTATCCTGTGAGCACATTTCTCTTATAACTAAAGGGAGTGGGAAAGCACTGCAGGATGGGGAGTGCCCACTTGAGTTGGCCCCAGGGTGGGGAGACCTGCAGGAGCAGAATTCTCCAGGCTCAGGGGGACAGGAGCACCAATAAAGGCATAAAGTCCCGCCTGAGCTCCTACAGCCCCAATGTCAACTCCTGAAGCATCCATGAGTGCAGCCAGGAAGGGAAAAGAAAAAAAAAAAAAAAAGAGTCTAGCACAAACCTGCAGTGATACAGCCCCAGAATAATCTTCTAGCAATTTGCAGCCAGGAACTTCCTACATCATTTGTGTTGTTTTCCGTCTGGCCTTTCGGAAACAGGCTTTATGCCACATTCTTTTTCTAGCAGTTTAAAAGCAGGTTCATTTCAACATCAAGTTTTTTCAAAGGGAGAAAAAAAAAGCAGCTCACTAGAAGTTGCTGAGTATCTTGAAGCTATTTTGGACCATTTGCCACATTTTCTCCTGTCCACAAAATGCTTCTTTGAGGTTCAAGTGGAAGTCAGACACAGCAACTTTGGTCAACAAATATTGATAAAATATGCACATTTTGTAAAACAAGGAACTGATAAAAAACACATTTCAAGCAAGATAAGTGCCAGCAGCTTAGCAATGAAGGCATTCAACGTTAAATAGAAGACTACAAGTCTAGAAAACTCCGGCCCCATCTTCTATCAAAAATAGCCAGGGAGAGGGGGACAGAAGCATCTCAAGGGAGAAGCCTGCAAACAGCTTGGAAAGTGGGACCAAGAGCAAAGCAACCCCCTGGCAGACACCCAGCTCCATCACCCAGTGAAATAATGTTGTCACGTGTGCTGCACATGGGAAGAGATCCTGGGAACTGCCAGCAGGAAGGTGGCACACAGCCACCAGAGCATGGCTGGGCACAACCTCTCCAACAGGTTACTTTCACCATCCCCATGCCTGCAACTTCCTTGCAAGCAGAAGAAGGATCTCAAAATAAGCAACTGTCCTACAGTTTCTAAGTGTCCTCGTGCTTCCTGGTAATCTTTGGCCTTTTCAGCAACTTCCTGCTCCCAATGCCCTAAGCAAGGTCACAGCATGTACAATACCTTCCAGTTAGATCCCAGTTTCAGGGCCTATACCAACCACAGCCAACCTGCAAGACATCTTCTTTCCCACTGCACCTTGGAATGGCACCTCTAGTTAGAAATATCTTAAACTGTCTGTAACCACAGTATCAAGGTTCTGCCAACTCATTCCGGCTATCTCTACAAGCAGAGCTGACCAGATTTTGTTCATTCAAATCCCCCACAGTAGTTGACCTCAACAACATGAGTTGACCTCAACAACATGTGATGTCTAGTTCACTTGCCACCTAACCAAGGTGAAGGAGAAAAAAACGCTTCATACTGAGACTCAACATATTAGGTCTTCACTTCGTGATGGTGACAAAGAGCTAGGCTACATCAGGGCTCGCTGTGCTGTATGCTGCAGGGATGAAACCCACCACTTGGAAGAAGCAATGAGGACATCATCACCTCCCACCTTCTGTGCAGAGTACAGAGAGACACTATTTGAAGAGACAGACGATCGCAAACAGCTGCGAGCCGATGAGTCACACAGACGCACATTAAGTGCTACTTAAAAAGACTCTAGAACAAAAAAATAGGTGACAGGCTCAGATCCACAACCTGAGTAAATCTGCAGACTCCACTGACGTTGTTGAGCCACTGTGTTCCTGCATGGCATGTTACAGGAAGCCGTTAAGTAATTGTGGCAGAACTTTGCATTTGCAGCAAGGTGAACTGCTGGGTAAGAGTTAAGAACTGGGATTTTATTGTAGGCAGGTTGCTTTCTAACTACCGAAAACAGTGATCTTGCTAGACCCTTCACTGTCCATCTCTGGAGAGATGTCTTGATCTTGAAGGGAGACACGAGTGTCCTCTGAATTACAAGGGAAATTTTTGGTGAAAACAGCATTAAATATCCAGGGTCTGGCTCCATACAACTGCCATACCAGTGCTTTTTACTGGCATTGAATTCATATTAACCCCATCTCTCAAAATAAACAGATAATCTTCATTTGGCATTTACATTGCCAGTGCCCTTTGCCAAACTGAGGTTCATTCATCATCTCTTCTCAGCTCTCTGGAATTATTTTCAAGCTACGAAAGGACAAGAGGGTGCTAAAGTTTGGGGTCTACACAACTTGAGTCACCATCTGTTCAAGCTACAGTCACTGAAAAGCCAGAAAGAAGACAGCAGCATCCAATGGGATGCTGAGGACGAGGCTCCTCCCAGCAGCTGTCTGAGCAGCCATCAGCACTGTTGGGCTCCTCTCAAATACGCTGCTCACAAAGTCTGGATCTGTTAACCTTGGCCAAGATCTAGGACTATTTTTAGAAGCTTGGATAAAAACCAGTCATCCAGTGAAAAGCTTTTCACTTCTAGTTTTAGACGTTACTTCTTTAGCTCAAATGCAATCACTGGCTGAGCTGCTCAAGGTCAACTCATGTTTCAGTCATTACATCACCACATTACACCTTTACCCAGACACCCCAGTAACCTCATCCCAAAAGCTAGTGCATTTTAAGTTAAACGCTTAAGGTCTGCATCCTCTACTCACCCATCTTTGGAGAGGTGATGCCGGAAGAAGTCATTGGCTGCCAGCTTGATAGCCTTTTCTGGTGTCACTAGAGTCAGGTTCACTGCAGCGCCTAGAAAGGAAAAACCCACAGGAGAATGAGAATGAAAGAAGAAGCAGTTAACTAAATTATTTAGAAACGCATTGCAGCTCAAAACCGAGGACAGAAGAGCTGGAGGTTGGCTGATAGCAATCAGTACCTCTACAGGGACATCAGCCAGCACTGCACAAGCTCCCGGGGTTAGATGGTTGCTCTTATATATCACCACTGGGTGTCACCCTCTGAGCAGTGCTCACTAGGACAGTTGAGCTGGCTTTCTGTCCATTGCAAGCCATGGTATGGCTAGGCTGGCCTGCTTACCATGAACCAGGGCTGTAAACAACCCTAGCTCCCATTACCCACTGAACTTTCTTTTGTCAGGAGCAACAAGCAGCAAATCCCTGCATTGTGTCTGCCACAATGAGCAGCCTGCAGGGCTTGGAGGGCCTTGGGACAAGCATTAGCACAACACAACAGCTGGCAGGCAGCTTTCAAGCTGCCCTGGAGCTTACAGGCTGAAGGGATGGCTGGTCCTATCTGAACACTTTGGGTTGGGCACCCAAAGTGCTCCAGAATATTCTCTTCCCTTTTTAAGGTTACAGCTCAGAAAGTCCTCCAGTAGATAACCATAAGATTTCCCAGCCTCTAGATTGAGCTCCAAGCCTTTCAGAGGAGCTTAACTCAATACTTGCAAATAGTCTAAACCTTTGCAAGACTAAATACAAACTTGCTTCTTCCAGGGTACACTTTTGCATTTAGGCCTGCTCTGGAGATCAAAACAACTCGTCCCAAAACTCACGTTTCCAAAGAGAAGACAAGCCCAAAGAGAAGACAGAACCCATAAATAAGATGTGGAAAAACACAGGCTTGGCTGGATGTTCTGCAGATTAGGAAGTGGAGTGGCATCACAGCTGGGACCGGGATACGGGAATCCTTGAATCTGCTTCCCCTGCTCAGGGACGCATCTCCATCACACAGGAAGTCCCCATCAGAAATAGACAGCCTTGGCAGGACAGCCTGACACATTTTTCTCTCTTTGTCAGCAACATTCACATTTCGTGAATCCACACAGCCTGATTTTCAAGTGAAGTGGCTACTTGCAAAACATTTCATCAAGTGCCAAGTGGAAGACAACCTCAGCATTGCTCCTAAGAGTAAGGAAGTAATTACCTGTAGAGTACTGAGACAGCATAAATCACCTTTTCTTTGGGGGGGGGGGGACCAAGAAAAAAAAAACAAGAAAAGAAGAATGTATTTGCTATTCTAATAGATGCACAAAGGGTTCCTCGAAAGAAAGAAATATAAACCCAAAACATCAAGGAAAAAATATAAGCGTTGACATGTCTTGACATCCTCCAGGAACCATGGAGGCTTTCACATCAATTTCTCCCCCATCTGCAAATAAAACAGAGGGAAATAAAACATGCAAAAGATAGGGGAAAGTTAACCAGTCTGTTTTTTTTCCTACATCTTCGATATTTTCAGCAAAGCTGCTTAGCAGAGAATGGATAATCCCTGTCCTCAATAATCCATAACAGCTTCACATCACTAGAGGAGGAGAAATGAGATACTTCAGCTGCTGGCTGGATGCTTTCCATGGTGTTTTCTACCTTGTTACAAAAACCTTGCTGCTCTTCAATTCCAGCTATGCCAACGACTGTATTTCCCTAATTAAAGCTAATTGTGGCCTATAGGCAATGCTGCGTGTATCTGAAGCAATGGCAGGCAACTAGAATGCAAAATAAATTGTAATCATTAAATTTAAAAAAAAAATGTATTTGGAAAAGTAGGAAAGAACCACAAAGATTGAAATCAAGTTGTTAGAGGCAGAAACAGTTAGTTGTTTGCCAGCTGAAATTGTTAAGTGCCTTTTCTCACTGAGCCCTAGGTTTTGTTATTAAACACATTTTTCATAGAAGCTCTTATATACCAACAACAGCCTACAGAACAGAGGACTGAGTCACTCTACTTCTGACCCCAGTGCAGCTTATGAACCCTAAGCAACCAAGATGATTTACAGAAAGGGAAGAAAGGCATATCTTTGTTGGTGTTTTCTCATGCCAGAAAACAGAGGCAGCTCCTCACCAAAGACATCAGAAACAAACCAAAGTTGAGGAAGCTGGGCAGTGAATAGATAGAACCAGGGCAACATAAACGTAACTATCCCAAACATTAATAGGATACACTGAAGTCCAGAAAACTTGGCACGGCCCTGGCAGTGTGGGGTAATTTTGGCAGGCAGCGTGTGAATGGGGGGTGACGTGGGAGATATTATTAACAGAGGCCAGGGAAGGCTGACACACTACTGTAACACTGTGCTAAGAATATACATCAAACAAGGTGCAGCTGAACTCCAAACGTCATCAACAGCAAAGGGCATTTCTCCAGCCTGGTCCAGGCCCATGGCTCCTGCCAGCTAGGTTAAATGTCTGCTCTACAAATAGCAGTGGGACTTTCCAGGACACGTGCTGGGATCTGTAGGTGACTTCTGGATGGCTTCTACCAGGGACTGGAAAGGGCTTCTGCCCAGAGTCTCCTTCCATTGGTGTCCAGACAGTCCAGAAGCCCAGGGCACTATGAATTATGAATTCATTTGCTTGACATCACATCTGAAGGCAGCACACAGACATCCCTTAGCACAGGCAGGGAGACTCGACACCACTCAGCCTTGAGGCACTGCTGCTACCTAGATATTACAGAGAAAGAACTTGAGAAAATCCTCTTATTTCTCAGCCAAACAAGGCCAAGAACACCTGTAAGTTTCAGGGAAGAATTTGAAATAAACATTGTCACATGCACCAGAATTTTCACTGTGGGCTACCCATATGGAGCTGGGAGCTTGTCACGTGCTGCCCATAAGATCTGACAAGATGACTTGCAGAAAAGTAGCCTGCAGGCTCAAGCCTCTCTTCTGTCTGCACCAGTGAGCTTTGGTTCACACATGAGAAAGGCTGGAAGTCACACAGTGGGGAAGGCTGGGCCCAAGCAGACCTTTCCTGTCCTCTGACAGAGCACAAGTGCCCTGCAGGGTTGATTGATGTGCTTGTGACCACCATGGGACACAGCAGCTGCCGCTCTAGCCTCTTAACAAACAATCCCCCTAATTTCAGCTTAACATCTGAAAATAAGTGCTTGTGAGTCATAGAACAACCTCTGCTGGGGAGCTGGGACAGATGGAAGGGGCAAGAATCCACCATACCATCTGATTTCTATCTCCCACTGGCTGCAACTCAGAGCCATATTTTTTACCTTCTTCCCAGAAAAGTACTTACGCTTTTTACAAGTCTTGGATGTATTTTACTGTCTCATCTCTCACTGAGGAGGAAAGGGCTTCTAATGTCAGCTCCCACAATTGAGGTACAGAGAAAAGGACCGCTGTACTTGGAAGACTCATTTTAGCACCCTGGCCATACTGACACATCTATGAATTTCAGGGAGGGGTTGCAGCTGTTCACACAACCTTTATCCAAACCCAGCTCCTCATTCAGAAATTGGAGGGGAAAGTTCAAGCCATTATCAGCTCTCAAATGGAGGTAATGAGGTTAGTGGGAAACAGACCAACTCATCTGGACTCATCACTGCTCCTACACAACAGGTGGGAAAAGAAAGAACTACCTAAAACCCTCTGTCTTCTTTGAGATTTCTGCTTGGGAATGAAATGTGGCCTGGAGATGCATATCCTTGTCCTTTCCAATCTCCTGTGTGAGTTCCCAGGAACAACTTCCCTCTGCTCCCCAGGAAGCTGCCTGCCAATGGGTATTTATGGCCAAAGTTAAGGCATGCATCATTCCTGGCTAGGAATACAGGAGCAGCTTCTGGAAAAAGGCAAGGGGAACACGTTGCTGCTAGCACTGAGCATGGAGCTCGCCAGGATTCCTCACGGTTATTTGCCCTGTTGCCTGCTCCCAGAAGAGCTGAAATAAAGCAGCCAATCCATCCCCAGCATCCACCTCACTCCCCCAAAACGCCCACCAGCAAGTTTGGCAAGAGACACCGCCTTGGCAGCCAGCTGTTGTTCCAACAATGGATGGCCACAGAGACTGTGCTTCCTTAGGAACTATGGAGGGATTGGCAGGAGCTGCTGCCTCTGCCAACAGCAAGGAGCCAGCATCTCCAGACTCCTGCTTGAGAAAGAAGCAAGGACTCATTTAAACAATGCTGTCCTTTAATGAGGCTTTATCAATGAATGAGCATCACAAAGAATGCTATCTGAACACGCTATTTATCTCAGAGATAAAAACTGCACATTCAGGCAATTGATTACCAGTATATAACATGAACTAGAGCTCAGCATCAACTATGCCAGCTGGACTGTGCTGACAGCCAAGGCTGTAATTCCATGTTTTCCTTTACTATGATTGAAATCAGAATTTGGCCTGCAATTCTCTCTCCGAAATGTTTAAAAACTTTCAAGAATTCTGCATTAAAACTAGAAAAAATATCAACAGAAGAACTCACTGCTACAACGGACAGCCTAAACCACAGAGCCAGGAGATTTCTAGCAGGTTAGCACACAGTGTCAGAACAGCTGGAGCTCCATCATGAACCATCCTATTTTTTTTTTTTACAGCTCCAAACAGGCCTGATCACACTGGCACAGGCTCTGATATAAATTCAATTAGTAGCAACAAAGGAAGACACTTTGAGACCTTTGCAACTACCCCTCTGATGAAAGTCATGGTGCCCAAGGTGGGAAGTGCACACCTACAGTCCTGGGACAGCAGCTCCATGTAAAACTGCAAGTAAAGGTGACCTCTGGTGAACGGCTTAACACCAGAATAGCCGTGGGGAGGACTCAAGTCCCAGATGGTAGATTGCTGAGCAGACACCTGGCATGGAGCAGTTTACTTTCACACGCAGCTGCAGCTGTCAACATCTGTGGGTATTGCTAAGGTATTGCATTACAAGCCAGAGAATACAGGCTTCTCCTCCCACACACACACACCAGTGCTTGCAGAGCAAAGCCATACAGAGCTAGGGGAGCTGCCTCAGCCCTTCTTACCTCTGTACATGCCAAAGTAGCCTTCTGAACGAATAGTTTTAATGAGGCAGTCAGACCTGCGAACAAAACAGAGAGAGATAAACCACAACAGCTCAAAGGTGGGTGGGAGCAGAGGAAACAAAACTAATCTCTTGGAGTGGTTTTCATTCACAATGTCAGCAAAACCCCGAGCCGGGAGGGGAACAACGTCAGCCGCTGAATGCGCCATTGTTCCGGCTGAGTCCAACTTCAGCCCCTAATTCACAGCGGCTTTGAAACCCCCGACTCGCCCCGCACATGCTGTCTGCTTTCTAGAAACACAAAAGGGAAAAATGTCACTGTGAGGGCTGTTTATCCAGGGTCCCCAGTGGAAAATGCGCATGCGATGCTCCAACAATCAGCTCCCCGTGCACATGCTTTTAAATCCAGCTCTGGAAAAGGAAGCAAGGAGGGGGGTCTAACCCGCCCAACACTCGACTTCATGAAATCTGACACAAGGCACACAAACACGAGGTGACCTGAGCGCTCAGTCATCTGTGGCCTCCCACTCAGCTCCCAGTGCTGACTTTTAACACTCTGCCTCCCCTAGCAGCAGCAGCAGCAGCACTCGGGCTCAAGCCTGGGGAGGGAGCATCGAGTGCCACCGAGGTCAGCTCCTGACAGAAAGCTGTCACCTCCTTTGTTTTCACTGCATTTCCTTTAGATCTAAAAGCTCTGCAGAGTGCCGGAATTGCTTGGAGCCTTTTGAACACAAGCACACACAGTCCAGGAAGCCTCGACAGCACAAAGCTCAGTTGCTGGCTGAAGGTTGCTCTGAAGTCTCTGGGAAGGGCTAGATGCCTGCTGTGGCTGTACTGGAAGGGAGAAGTGTGCATGCATGTGTACATCATTAAGGAGCAAAAGGCTCTTTAAAGCAGTTATAAGGGAAATGTAGCTGAAAAAGGGGATTTGTTTCTGAGAGACTGGGCAACATAAAGAGAAAGCTTCATGTCTGCTCTGCAGTAGTGCTGAGCTGGGAGAGAAAGAAATGCAGGCTTCCCTTGAGGTCTTTTTGCCTTCTTTGGCCAAGGTGGTTCTTAGGGTAATACATTTGCAAAGAGCCCACCTGCAGTGCGGCCAAGCCAAGGCAGTGAGCCTCTCTGTTTTACTATGCCCCTGTGCCATGACTCCTCCAACCTCTTTGGCCACTGTCTTTCTTCCATATCCTCATCAAGCTCTTCCAGTGTGATGCTGGAGACAAGGCACCTTCCCCGAGTCAGCAGCGCTGCTCTGAAGAAGCCACAGAAGAGGGGAGTGGAAAGAGCTGCCTCCACACCACGCTCATACAGCCCTGCTGCATCACTGTGAGCCCTGCATCTCTCTCCCCACCCCACGAGCTACTGCAAAGAGCAATTAAGCCAAGGCCATGCCTGCCTTACTTCCTCTGCTCTGAAAAAGAGTGCCAGGAGCCACAGCTAAAATTATACAGAACAGCGCATGGGGCACACAGTCAAAAGCCCAGCTCTTCCCATACTCCAGGCCTGTTCCAAAGCATCTTTGGCTCTCTCAAGGGAAGATTTATATAATTTTTCCAATCAAACCATCCTACACTCCCATGATGCTAAAGGTTTCTTGAGCAGAGCAGAAGCAACACATGCTGCCTTAAAATAAAAAAGCTGAAGTTTCAAATGAATTCTTTGGCTTCCTGGGGGCTCAGCAAACACCTCTGAGATCTGGTATCAAAGGGCATGCAGTATTTCCTGAAAAACAAGCCCCTACAGCTGGGGAGCATAGATAAGCCCTCCCAATACCCACCTATCTTAAGGGTACTGCTGAGGACACGCTACATGCTTGGGAACAGCATCCTCTCAGTGCCATTCATTTGCTTGTCAAGGCAGTACACTGGACAGCCTGATGTTATCAGGATGTGTTATCCCTGTTAATTCCTTGTCCCTGCTGGCCTCTGGGCCCCCAAAAGACTCTTATCCCCACTGGTTCAAGCTCACTCTCCACATGTCAGAGCAATGTCTTCTACATTACTCATTCACATTCAGGCTTTGTCTTGAAAGGAGTCAGCTCAGATACACGAGGTAAATTCACTGTATTCCTTAACAGTGTTTCATCCCCCAGCTGACCATGGTTACAGAACAGATCTGCAGTTGGCTGCTTGGGATTAAAAGTCTCTCTCCTCCTGAGCCCCTCCAGAGCTAAGGCATGCTGCCACGTGCTCCCAGGGTTGGTGCCTACAAATCCTCCATCCTGCTCTCCCTGCTCCCTTGCTTGGCCCAAGCAAGCCAACTTGAGAAGAGAGGAGGAATGGCAGCAGGTCCCACTTCAGCAACGCAGGCGGTGCCCATCCTGACCTACCTCAGTTCCTCAGGTGCCTCTATGTAATAAGTTTGAATCCCTGAAACTGGAGGGTAAGGTGGCTGAGAATGAGGTGGAGGGACAACCTGCAAGCTTTTCTAAGGAGAGGCGGTTAGCTCCACGCTTGGAGACTGCCTCCTCCAGTAAAGAAAGAAGGGTGATAGTCATAGATGACTTCCTTCTAAAAGGAACTGAGGGCTCAATATGTCAGCCTGACCCCACCCATAGGGAAGTGTGCTGCCTCCCTAGGGCACGGGTCAGGGATATCTCTACAAAGCTTCCTGGTCTTATTCGCCCATCTGATTACTATCCGTTATTGGTAGTTCAGGTTGGCAGTGATGATGCTGCCAAGAGAAGCCTGAGGGCTATCAAAAATGACCTCAAGAAACTGGGAAGTGTTCTCAATGGAGCGGACGTGCAGGTGGTTTTCTCTTCTATCCCTTCAGTGGCAGGGAAGGATCAAAAAACCCTCCTCATAAATAAATGGCTTAGAGGATAGCCAGTGTCACTCTGGTCTTCAAAAAGGGCAAGAAGGAAGATCCAGGTAATTACAGGCCAGTCAGCCTCACCTCTGTCCCTGGAAAGGTGATGGAGCAGCTTGTGCTGGATGTCATCTCCAGACAACTGGAAAAAAAGGAGGTTATCAGGAGCAGTCAGCACGGGTTCACCAGGGGAAGGTCATGCTTGACCAACCTGGTAGCCTTCCACAATGTTGTCACTGGCTGGGTTGATGGGGGGAGAGCAGAGGATGCACCTTGATTTCAGCAAGGCATTTGATACTGTCTCCCATGACATCCTTATAACAAAGCTGAGGAAGTGTAGGATGGATGAGTGGACAGTGAGGTGGGTTGAGAACTGGCTGACTGGCAGAGCACAGAGGGTTGTCATTGGCGGTGCAGAGTCCGGTTGGAGACCTGTAAGCAGCGGTGTTCCTCAGGGGTCGGTGCTGGGTCTGGTCTTGTTCAACATCTTCATCAATGACCTTGATGAGGGGATAGTGGCCACCCTCAGCAAGTATGCTGATGATACGAAGTTGGGAGGATTGGCTGACATGCCTGAAGGCTGTGCTGCTATTCAGCAAGACCTGGACAGGCTGGAGAGCTGGTCAGAAAGAAGCCAGATGAGGTTTAACAAAAGCAAGTGTAGGTCTTGCATCTGGGGAGGAATAATTGCATGCACCGGTACAGGCTGGGGGATGACCTGCTGGAGAGGGGCTCTGCAGAGAGGGACCTGGGTGTCCTGGTGGACGACAGGTTGGCCACGAGCCAGCAGTGTGCCCTTGTGGCCAAGAGGGCCAATGGCATTCTGGGGTGCATTAAAAAGAGCGTGGCCAGCAGGTCGAGGGAGGTGATCCTCCCCCTCTACTCTGCCCTGGTAAGGCTTCATCTAAAGTACTGTGTCCAGTTCTGGGCTCCCCAGTACAAAAAAGACAGGGACCTCTTGGAAAGAGTCCAGCGGAGAGCCACAAAGATGGTGAAGGGCCTGGAGCATCTCCCCTATGAAGAAAGGCTGAGTGAGCTGGGTCTGTTTAGCCTTGAGAAGAGAAGACTGAGATGGGACCCGATCCAGATCTATAAATATCTAAGGTGTGGGGGGCAGAGCGGCGAGGCCAGACTCTTTTCAGCAGTGTGTGGAGACAGGACAAGGGGAAATGGCCAGAAACTGCAGCATAGGAAGTTCCACACAAATGTGCACAAGAACTTCTTTACAGTGAGGGTGATGGAGCACTGGAACAGGCTGCCCAGGGGGGTTGTGGAGTCTCCTTCTCTGGAGATATTCAAGACCTGCCTGGACACCTACCTGTGTGACCTGGTGTAGGGAGCCTGCTTTGCCAGGGGGGTTGGACTCAATGATCTCTGGAGGTCCCTTCTAACCCCTATGATTCTGTGATTCTATGATTCTGATTCTGCTCAATGCCATGGGCTGAGGCTCTTCAGTTGCTGCTGCCTGCTACCAGCCAGCAACTCAGGGTGCGGAACACAGAAGGAACGAGAGTCAAGGCGAGTCATGAGGCTGCATCCTGACAGCACAAGGAGCAGAGAGCGCTGTAACTGTCACAGGGAGCACCAGACTGGTGCTTGTTGCCTACAACCAAGTTCACGCATAATTACACATCAGCAGCTAGAGCACGGAGGCCCAGAGACTGAAACACTCAACACAGAGCGCTTCCTTCCTATTCCCCCTCTGCTCCAAATTCACCTGGGCAGGGATGGGGAGAATAACCAGTGTGGAAGAGCAAGAAGCAGGCAGCACAACTTCTTAACAAAGCAGCAGGAGGACAGGACACACACACTGCTTTCAGTCCCAGCCCTCTTTTGCCCCTCAACAATACAGAAAAATTTTTAAAAACTAAGGCTTGTCTCTGTACCATAAGAGAAAGTATTTCATGCTAAGTACAGCTCATGTTCCCACAGCAGACACGCAAAGCACAGATGGGCTGGATACACATGTGCCTTCCTTTCCTAAAGCTTGCAGCACAATTTTTTGGACAAAGGACTGATAGGAAACTACCGTATGTGTCAACCTGTGATGTTTCAGAAGGACTGCACTACAGCGTTCAAGAGCAGGAATAGGTGATTGTGCCCTTCTTAAAGCACGCAGCAAAGGAAGAGGTTGTTACCTCCAGTATGACAGTGAGGGAAATGGAAGAGCCAGAGATTTCCCCAAGCACTTGGTTGTGGCCTAGCAGAGAAACAAACCAAGCTTTCTTTGCTGAGCCCTGTCTGCCCTTTTGACCAGTGCTGATGAGCAGAGAACACACTGCTCCCAAGAAAGGGACATAAACAGATGCGCCCTCAGCAGATCTCACCTGCTGGGCTCAGCAGCCAGAACAGACACTTTGCTTGTTTTAGCACAGCTTGCTTTGAAATTGTCCCCTGGCTTTCTTGGGGACAATCCGGTTCCTAGAAATGCTGAGCTCACCTGAAAGAAGTAACAACGTAGAAGGATGCCCTGCTGAAAGCCCAGTGGCAAGCTGCCCGTGCACACAGTACTCACATGCTGGTGTACATCCGCTGGCCATTCTGCTGGTTCTGCAGGCGAGTTTTTGCCAAGTCAATGGGAAATACACAGGTGACCCCAATCAGCCCAGCTATCCCTCCATTGATCAGCTTGGCAGGTAAACTGTAAGGAGACAAGAAGCAGATGTCTTAGTTCTGGGATAACTCCAGGGAAGGGAAAGAGGAAAGAATGTGCTCATAAGTGCAACCAGGCAATTAGCATGTCACTGTGTGATAAGGCTGTCCCACCCCAAGCATGCAGAGAGCTCTGCCACAAGGCATAGCTCAGCCTTGCTGTACATATGGGGTAGGAGGGAAAGGCAGCACACAGCACCAGGACAAACCACTGCTGGCAAGGACCTGCTTAGCATCAAGCAGTCTGTGTGGCCCTGACCAAAGTCTGTCCGGCTGGCATTCAAGGCAGCAGGTTTGCTGGCAAGTGGTTCCCAGTGCTGTAATGTAATGTACACATCTAATGAGAGGTTCGTGGCATGTCACCTGCTCCTGTTACGTGGGATAGAGAGTGGCAGAAGCGCGGCCAGCTACAGATCCACAGCCATTCCCAGATCCACTCACTGCTGGGGGAAAAGACACGTGAGCCCAGCAGAACACTGGCAGCCACGTGGCTCGGTGGGCTGGCAGAGCAACATGCAGCACAGAGACACGAGCTCGTACTTCTCAGTAACACCAAAACCTGTTGGCTGAGCGTGCTTCAAAATTGTGGGGTTTTTTCCACTCACCCTTCTGTTCCCAGAGGGAATTCCTGGAACCTGGAAGCAGCACTGATTGAACACCAGAGCAGCTAAACACGAGTTCCCAGCAAATTCAATTACTCAAAATGCCCAGTACTTACATGCTCAATAAACCACTACACACTGAGACAAAGGAAGCCTGTTGGAGTCAGCTCTCTCCAATAAAGCATGGGACATGGTTCCCTGAACACAGGATGTGTTAGATATTAAAGTGATGGCAGACAGCAGCCATGCATGAGCATACAGCTGGGCCAGACTGCAAGACCTCGAGACTCTGCTGCCTCAGGGATCCTAGTATCACAGTCAGAGAAGGGAATAGCATTGCCTGCAAACTCACATCTCAGGACACAGGGAAATTTCAGACAGTAAATAAGCTTCATGGTGTACTCCTCACCTAACCCACTGTTACACTGTGTTGAGGGCAGAGCAATACATGTGTGCCAAGATGGAGGTTCCTGAATCTATAAGACTGGACCATACCAGCCTCCCCACGTTCAGTTCTGAAGTCACTGCTGGCAGGCTGCAAATGCCAGCCATGCGTTGTGCAGCCTCAGCTCTGTCACCACTTCTCTAAGTGTCTCTGAGACACCCAGGGCAGGCAGACACTTGCCTCTCACAAGCTGTTCCAACAGTGAAATCACCTCAGGGTTTACATCAGGTGGGAGTGAGGCACAGGCACGTGGCAAGCATCTTGCCCATGAATCACTGATTTCAGCATAGACCCCAGGGAACCAGCCTGATGAGTCTGGGCAAGCCAAAAACTTGGGGCAGTGTGGGCTGCAGAGGACATCTCGCCTTATCTGCAGGTGAGAAATCCCTGCTGAACATTCTCACTGCATCTGAAGCCAGGTATTCAGGGACCCCTGAGCACTGCAGAAAGAAACTAGTACAGACAGTGCAATGGTATCTGGTGAAACATTCAGATAAAGTTACATGTGTACAATTTCAGAAATGCAATGCCCTTGATCTCACCTTGCAGCAGACTGCTGCTGTGGATTTTAGTCTATTTTGCTAAGGGTCGACAGACCTGTGTCGCAAGGGAAACGGTGTACAGTGTATCCTTCAAGCTTCAACAGATCTCCTTGCTAGGCTAGTGACCACTGCATTTTCATGGTTCCAGAGATGGGAAGAATGATTTAAGCAAGATATGGTGAAGGAATCGGGGCATAGGGAGGTTCCTGAAACCAAGGAACAGATGGAGCTGGGCACTGCACCTGAAGCAAAAGCTTTTCCTTCATGACTAAGCCACCCCACGTCCTAGCTTGGTACTTTCTGCTCTCACAGGATGAGAACACACCATGCTCTCTCCTATTCTGCACAGTGCCTGCCTCTCACAGCCCACAGTACAGTGCTTAGTGAAATGGGGCCAATACAGACTGCCATACAAATAAAGCCACTTGCTTAGTTTTACACTAAAATGGGTAGAAAGACATTCCAGTTTTACTAATGCTCTTCTCCAGTCCTTTTAGCAGCTCCTGTTCACAATGCCAAGAGGACTTAGAAAGGGCTGGAGGAGGTCTCAGGGAATCATTTCCCTTCCTTGAATGCCAGGTTTCAAGGGGCCACAGACATCTGCTCCCTACACTCTGCTAAGACTATCAGGGACACACACCCGCCAGGCTTCACAAAGGTGAATCTCCGCATGCCTTTCATTAATGTAAGGGAAGAATGCCAAGTGCTCTCCAAATTAGGTAACTGATGACAGGCCAATCTGGGCACATAGACACTCTGCAATGCTGTCTTGTTATCAGTGCAGCTCAGAACTCTTTCACTTGCAGAAGGAAGGAGGGCAGGAAGATATTGTGATCGTGGCACATGCTAAGAAGAGGAAGCCCTCCCTCTGTAGCATTCAGACATTGCCAAATCCTGGTCCATGTTTCATTCACCCACTGATCCAGGCTAATTGCTTACCTCCTGTCTTGAACTGGCAATCTGGAAAGGCAGGTGTCAGAGAAGGGCCACACAAATAAATGGCACGTAGGAGTCATTCACCTCAGACAACATTACAAACAGTAAAAAGTCAAACCTAGATGTAGTACTGGACAGATCCATTTGGCATAGATCTTAGGAAGCTAAGAGGACAGTGGTGTCTTCTGAGAAAACACATCCCAAGTCATTTCCAGAGAGGACTCAAATTAGCCTCTGCATATGCCAGGGCCAATGCTCTTCAGTTCCCACTGTGCACTTCAGAGTTACCAATTATTGTTGGCACTTTGTGTTCCTGTAATCACTCAAGCATTGAAGAGCTATGGAAGTAGGGCACAAGTTTGCATGGACTTTGTAGTTACAAGCAATAGACTCCTGGTTGGCCAAGAAGCCAGCTTTGTTCCCTTAAAGCTATCAAACTGAAGTCAGCAGGTCAAGGTGACCTTTGAAAGAGGAAGCAAAAAGCAATGGACTCACGTAGGGTCAACACCAGAGGACAGATAGAAATGAGAAAAATTAACAAAGCAGAGGCTGCAACAACATGACAAAGACACAAAACAAGAAAAGACCAAATAAAATAGGTAAGAAAGGAGCAGCAAAAGAATCAAAGCTGTTTATGGCCAGAAGAGAAGCTCAGGTGATTGTTTCCAACCTGCCATATCGCAGAAGGGATTGAGTTGGAAAGACTTAAGAGAAAAATTCAAAGCACAACTAAATTTATCTTTTTTAAAAGTTACCTGATCTGTTTATCAGCCATTTAATTCCAACTTGATCTTGTTTAGAACTGGATTTGTTCCTTCAGACAGTTCCTCAACTACTTCTTCAGTCACTCCTTTTCCAGTTTAGCTTCTTCCTGGGAAAGGAGAGAGACACCAAGGAGATAAAGTTGAGAACTGGGCACTTACACTCTTGCTGGGCAGGCTGCAGGGTGAAACAGGCAGAGAAAGAAATGACTTAAGAGAGCACCCGGTCTCCTTTGATAGAGGAGACTGAGCTGCTGACTGAGCTCCCGAGGGAGCCTTATAAATATATGTCTGTGTATATACAAATATAGATGCACAAATGGAAGGAAGAGCTGCCAGAGCTGTCATGCTCCAGTAGCACGTGAGCAACCTTGGGTACCGCTGTTCTGGATGCCAATGCACGAGCTCTGCCAGGCACCCAGGACAGCGGTACCCAACACTGCCCTTCCAAACCATCAGCATATCCAGATCCAGTCCCCTACAGGTCTGCACTCCAAGACAAACAAATGTCACTGCACGATGCCACGCTTTCGTGAGGCATCTCAGCATCGCTCAGCCACTCTTCTCCCTCTCCCCTTCTAGTTGCTACTTGGGCGGTGAGACCAAAGCAGAGGAAATTTCCTTTTCCTTTCCATCAGGAATGGAAATTTGCCCCTTGATTGCAAATAGGATTTCTAAGCTTCATAGAATTTCACTCTCAACACAACTCACATCCAAAAGAGTAGCCTGTTTTGGCTTAGTTTAATTTATTTCCCTATCAATTTATCCAGAACAAGACCAAAATATAAAAACAAAGTAGAGAGGCCAGCTACTGCTGACAGCCTGTTATCCCAGCACGGACAAGCTCTGTACCAGGAAAGCTCTCATGATAACATCTACAGCCTCAACAGGATGTTTGTGTTCCTTGAAGCAGCAGCTCTGACAAAACACACACACACTGCATGCTCCTGACACCCCATTTCAAGCTCAGGCACACTTCCTGTGTGCTGCACTGCCCCCCAGGAGTCCATGTTGCAAAGGGCACCCCAAGAGCAGACAGCAAGCCTGCTAATACACAGCCCTGTGAGACCGACTGAGCTTCTTACCTGCTCTCTAATCCCTTCCTTCTGTGCAACCTCTTGGCGTCAGCCCTCTGTCTGCACAGTGACTGCAAAGCCTTTGCTGTCCATCCCTCCAGCAGTGCTCCTGCTGGGTTAAAAGCAACCCTCCTGGTTTCAGAACAGGGCAGAGGTACCACGATCCCTGGTGAACCGAGACCCACACAGGCTGTATAGCCACAAGCCTCTACTGCATCCTCTGCCCTAACAAAAGCTACTCAACCAGCAGATGTGATCATCTAGCACTTGATAACTGTTTGTACAGCACCTGGCACAGCAGAGGCCCCAGTGCTCACAGCCAGGGGATTTTAATGCATTATGGGATTTTAAAGCACTGAGGTGGAAAGCTTGTTTGAGCTCTGTTTGTTTAAACAGAGCTCCAGCAAATGACCATTTGCAAAACAAACTCAACTGCAAAATCTACCTGAGCACTCCAGAATTCCCTGAGGCCTTTAAAAGAGGGTGTGGGATGAAGCCCCCTGGTGCCCCATTGAAGACTGCAGGGAGAGGCAGAGCCCAGTTCCTTCCACAGCAGGAAAACAACTGCTGCAGTTAGAAGCTGGAAAGAGAATGCTCAAAATCTTATAGGATATTTTTAAAAGAAATCCAAAACAACATTATACTTGTATATATTAGCAGTGGAGGTCTAAGCTTTATCACTCCAGGAACGCAATGTTCTTTGGAGCCAAATAACACAAACCATAGCAGTGAAGCAAAGTTCCTCCAGCCAAGCAAGTGTGTGGCTCCAGGGTCAGAGAGCAGGGCTTATACCCACCACTGCCCTTACAGCAGGGCAGGGGAAGCCAGCAGCACCCCAGGGTTGCTCTCATCTTGGAAGGTCTCAGCTGAGCTCAATGGCTGTGAGGACAATAGCACAGCCAGGACTGGGAACCTCCAAAGCACAAGTAACAGGGGAAACTGGTGGCAGCAGGGACAGAGCCATGAGAGAGCCTTCAAGTGGAAGGGGGTTCCTAAATTGCACATACCATAATTAAGAGAGTGAGAGCTGCACAGGCGATGAATTATGTGGCGTTAATTCCTTCCTAGAGTGCTGTTAACACAGCTAGGCATGGATTAATGCCCCATTACTCGCACACCAGGACATCCCTTCTGCATTTATTAAAATGATCGAGCAAATTAGTTTTAGAGTGACATGCACACTGCAGCACAAGGAAGCACCTCTGTGCTCGGCAGAGAAGCACCACAGCCCACACTGCCCCATGTAGGCAGCCCTGGAGCCTCCCTCCATCCAGCTCCTCCCCTCACCCAGCTTCCAAAAACCAGCTCCAGAGAGTGATGGAACAGCCAAGTTAGGGGTAGCCCTCAACAAACCTAGCTTGGGATGCATCTGATCCTCACAGCTTCTGGCCCTGGAAAAATGATACCATTCTCCTCCCTTTCCTTGCTACGTACCCCACACTCACCTGTGAGCTTTCCTATAAGGTTTCCTCCAGGATGGCCAACTGAACGCCTCAGACCTGCTGCACAGGGCTGGACTTTAAACCTTTGCTTCCCTTCACCTTATCACCCAAGGGAAAAGTGCTTACTCTGGAGAACACCACATAATTATATTGTAATTATAGGAATCCCAGGACAACCTCAGGCAAGGAGGGATGCCTGCAGCCCCAGTGTGCTATATGCTGCAGCAAAGTGAGGAAGTGGGGCAGCGTGTTAGGCTCACTGTTTTATCCCAAACCTGTGATGTGTGACCCAGGGGATCCTATCACTCAAACTCTGTCCTGTCCTGCTCTCCCTCTGCCAGGCTAAAAAATGCTGATTTATCTGAGTACACGCAGCTGCTGCCATGACAGAAGACCTTTAGCCAATGCTGCTGGCACTGTTGCCATAGGAAGAAACTCTGTCCTCTCCCCATGCCACACATGTTCCCATACCCACTTTTGTGCCAGCACTAACATTTGTGCAGGATGGTCAGGCAGCGATGACAGAACTCAAGGCCAGCACATGCTGTAGCTGTCACTGAAAGCAAACATTCAAACTGCAACCTTGACTTGAAAACAAACAGCAGAAGGGGAAAACAGGACTCCCTTCCACATATTCCCATTTGTCTTGAGAGCAGACAAACTCAGCGCTCCAGCCAGAAACCAAGAAACAGGCTCAGAGGGCAAGAGAAAAGAGCAAAGTCGTGTCAGCACCCACCGTGTCGAGGATGCAGCAACGCTACTGGTCACCATCAAGGATCAGGAAGTATCCCTGCTGCCTCGTGAGCCACCCACACTCCTCTGCCAGCACAGAGGGACAGAGCATCCCTTAGTCTCACAGTGCCAACAGGCAAGCAGAAGCCCCAGCACTGCAGCTGCACACTGACACACTCACCCACCTTGCAGCCAGGAGAAAGCCCACAACCAGCCTTGTGCGTCCACACTGAGCCTTGGAAGCAGCGTGGGGCAGGACCCTGCAGCTCAGGTGAAATCGGGCCAAAGTCCCTGTGGGGAGGTGCCAGGCTGCCTGCCTGCCTCATTGGCCCCAGCACTCCACCAAGGACAGGCCTGGTGGCATGGTGCCTGACACAAGGCAAGGTGGTAGGGACACTCACTCCTCTACCATGGCACAAAGCTCCACCACCCACCAGAGCACACCCCACCGGGCAGAAGGACCTGAAGAGAGCAGCCAGGCAATCACACAGTGCCAGGACATCTGCATTCAAGTCAGACAGACCTGAGGAGCAGGCCTGAGCCAACCTGGAACAAAAGCTAAATACGCCCTTCAGCTTTGCATGTCTTGGGAAACCGCCCCAGATCCAGAGACTGAAAGCTGACACTCAGCTCAGAGCAGGGCTTACTGCGATGCAGGGCTGAGCTGCAGTACTGCAGCACACCAAGAGGTCCTAGCACTGAGCTGGGACTCAGTATTGTAGAAGCTGTGCAAACCTTTAGTCAAGGACAGTCCCTGTCCTGAAGGCTTTGCAGCTGAACTGGGGGTATGACGGGATGAACAAGGACAGCATGACCAGCAGTGACTCAGCCAGCGCTCACACAGCAAGTCCTGCTGTCCAAGGGATTGGGGCTGCCAAGCCGATGGAATGGCAGGGCAGGCTTCAGCAGGGCAAATGAGCTGGCAGCCATCTCTCTGAGAACAGCAGGAGGCAAGACAGTAAAACGTGCTTATAAGGAGTAACTAAGGCAAACTTGGTGATACCTCTCCATGTCTTCTATAGGAACATGGACAGAGCAGCACAGAGGGCCAGAGAGCCAAAACCCCTTTCCATGCATCTCTTACTGTAACATCTTCACTACCATGGTGATACAAGGCCATAGCGCAGCAGCAGCAATCCAGGCCTGGGATCTTCCTCTAAAGCAGTGGTAGGCTCCAGGCTGTGCTCTGCAGAGACCTGCATACCCATGCACAGATTCACAGGGATCTGTAAGAAATAGCTAGAGAACAACTGACTCATATGCAAACACAATGAACAAATCTGTGTGCAAGCTTCTAGAGAGAATGATTGTTGAAATGAAGTTTACAGTGGCCCACGTTACTTTGCAGCTGGAAGCATAAGCTAACTGACAGACACAAAGGCAGCCCAGACATGACCGTGCTGGTATTCAAGTAAGTTCACAGCTCGGACATCGCGGATGACACAAGTGTCTGCTTATTGCCAGCAATCCTCCTTCCAAATGCTGCTGAGAAATCGTGTAGTCACACACTGAAACGGTGTGACTCAAAATGATTTTAAACCCATCTTTACCCTGGCTCGGCTCTCCAGGCCCATTTTTATGGAATTACAGCTTCAGAGAGATGCAGCATTAATTGGAGAAAGTGGACAAATTAACTGAAAAACTGGAGTGTGGAAAACTGGAGACACAGATGGGAAAACAAGCAAGAATTTGTATAAAATCTGTCCTTTTCTCTACTCTGTGGTGGCCTTGTCCTAAAGAAAAGGCAGAACAAAAGTGAAAGTGTGATGGCGACAGACAGACCAATCCTTTGATCTGGAAGGACTCACTGCTAGCTGGGAAATGAAATGGTGCGAAGCCCTCACTTGGGTGCTCTGCCAA